AGCAGTGCAGACGTCAGCCTGTCATCGAAACCTGCAGCAGAGAAACCTCTACAATGGAGCTTCCGTTTGCAAAAAGTGAACATAGTGCAAAGCACGGAATGAAAGCTACAGAACTTAAGGAGTTCTCCCCATGGGCAACCCGGGTGCATATGTAATACTGCCCAGAGATATAGCAGGCGGCTCTGGAGCGTCACATGAGGTATATCTGGCTTCTCTCGCTTGGCCACCGGGCCCTTACTGTCACATCTTCCAGGAGGCAAAAAGTTTTAGAACTGGGTCAGCAAAGCAGGACTTGAACCAACAGGTCCAAATCCCCAGGAGGGGCCAAGGATAAGGGAGTGACATTCACGTGGTTTCCAAAGTGAATGTATAGGCAAGCATCTGTCCACTCTGTCCTCTGAGGGAAGGGATTCGGAGTCACTGACTCTCCCACGGGCAAAGGGAGCAGACTTGGGCAACCCTCGTTGCTCCAGCCCTGCTCCTAGAAGGAGGGAAGCCACGTTCTGCACCGGCTCTCACACCGATTGAGACTAGACGCCTCTCTGCAAACCGGGAATTCAGGCCTCTCCCTGTTTCTTCTGCAAAGCGTGTTGGGAATAAGGACATCTATTCTAGAGAGGCACCTCCCCCGTTCTAGCCCTTGTCCCCATCTCTCCTGCCCAGGCCTTCTTGAGTTCCCCTTTGTTTTCTACACGTTAAAATGAGTCTTTGCTACAGCCATTACCCTATGTCCTCGGAGCCCTGGGCAGGGTTTGACCCGCAGGACTCCCCTCACACTGACGGCAGGCGTGGCGGGTTCCTCTTGGGACTCAGGAACAACTGTCAGAACAAGTCCAATGCAATAAAAGGGCAGTTGGGCAGCTAACCTTTCAAATGGCCCTGCCATGTCCAGAGGGAACAACAGAAGTGGACGAGTCAGGGGAGGCAGGGTGGGGTGGAGGGGATCCATCAGTCCAGGGAAGGGCTTGCAATGCTCTGTCTCCCTACATGAAGTGACCGTGGGTCCGTCTACACAGCAGAAAGAGTCCCATGGCAGCAAGTCTCAGAGCGTAAGGTTAACTGACTCGGGCTTCTGCCGCAGGTTCAAAATAGCCAGTGTAGATGTTGGGCTGGCGCTGGGGTCCGGGCTCCGATACCGGGTGCGGGGAGGGTCTCAGAGCCTGAGCGAGAACATCAACACTGCAATTTGTAGCCCTGCAGCGTGAGTCTGAGTCCGCTGACCCGGGCTCTGAGCCTTGCTGCCGCAGGGGGCTGCGCTGTGTAGACGCACCCGGCAAGTACACATCTGGGCTACAGACGTCACTTGCGGACAGTGCAAAATCCATCAGCTACATCACCTGCTGGGCGAGTGTCCTGCAGCGTGGAGGCTGGGGTGCCCCCCCCCAACTCTGCTCTTCCAGAATTGGCCTTTTTTATTCCTCAAACATCTCAGAAGCCAAAGCAAACCCAGAAGCTCATTTTCCTCAGGCCCCCGGCAAGCCCCCTGGAATTGCATATTCTAGCTGCAGCAGATCAGAGGATGTCAAGTTGCCCACGTACTTCAAATAAATAAAACGAACATTTGGTGTGTCCGGAATTTACAATCAGTGGTCAGAGAAATTCTGATCGTTTCACCAAGTCGGCTCTCGAAGCATGTGCAATGTGTTTGCTTGGTGGAAGAGAAGGGTTATGGCTGGGAGCTGCCGCTGCTACCTCCCACGTTGCTAACAGAGCGACAGTTGATCTTCCGTAAGGAGTGCAGAGCGACCGTGCAGCACCCGCGGAGCAGCGAGCTGATGTTGTATATGGGCTGGCCCTGCCTCCGCTGAGTACGGCACAGCCAGGCTACCGTGGGCACCGCCGGCACCACCACGGCCAAGAGATCCACAATGAAATGGCGGCTCCAATAGCTTTTCGGTACTGTGGCTTCTTGGCTCAGCTCGGCAGCGTCTTCCTCCAGGGTGCAAATGACGCTCACCGACTGGCTAGTGCTAGAGGGCTGGTGCACAGCAGGGTTGTTGGTCACCAGTCCCGGGCAGCCCTCTTGCCCCTCCGGAGTCTCTGGCCCCTCTCCTGCGGTCACCGCCACAGCGGAGTTGGGTTCAGTCGCCATCAAGTCCGTGGTCCCAGAGAAGTTCTGGGCCTGAGTCTCGGAGCTGGGCACCAGGTCTTCCATTTCGGACACCCACACGGAAGTGGGGCTGCCCAGGCTGCAAGCCTGGGACTTCATGACCTTTTCCAGGATAGTGTCCAGGTCCGGCTGGTAATGCACAAAGTCAGTTTGGATGGCCTGCTCCTGCATGCAGCTCGCCTGCACTCCAGCCTCCACGCTGCCTTGCGTACCCATCAGTTTCTCATAGGTGGAGCTGGTGGGAAGTCTGGAGCCCAGCGTGAAGGAGCTCTGTAGAGACCCCTCCTCGGTGCAGAACTCTACCCCTGATGAGAGCAGGCTGCTCTGCTCCAGCAAGTCCGTCCGGCTTAGCGAGTCATCTGCAGCCACGAAACCACTGTCCACCACCTCCTCAGCTGACAGGGTCTGTGAGTCCCCAGCGTTCCTGTCCCCTGCTGCCTGGTCACTCAGCTTGGTGTAGGTAGAGCTGCGGGTGAGGGACCGGGCTGGAGAGCCCCCTGCCGACTCCCCGGCCCCTTCCTCCTTCACAGCCCCGTTCTGTGCTATCTCCATGCTGTGCAGCAGGGTCTCCAGCTTTTTATTCTGGATGTTGATGTCCACAAAGTATTTCTGAAGGCCTTTGTCCTTCTCCATCAGGTTGTTCTTCACGGTGTCAATCACCTGCTTCAGCTGTTTGATCTCCTTCCGGGCCTCCTTGAGTGCCAGCTGGGCCTCCACACGGTGGCACTCTTCCTCGATCCAGTCCTCCTGCATCCTCGAGAGCTGGGTCTTCAGATCCTCAATCTCAGTATCCCTGCACCAGACAGACAGACAATCACCACCACTTCCACCCGAGGGGGCCAGTGTGACACGACCGGAGGTTGGAATTTTGCATAGGTGTTGACAGTCCACGCTAAAAGTAGTTTGGACGGTGCATTTCTGGGGTCACTCTCTGAGGGCAATTTATTGTCCAAACCCCCTACTCACCATCTTTCTCCTCTCACCTATGCAAGGACCTTCTATACAAGGAGAAGGGCAGACAGGATTTATATGGGTAAAAATGGTCGTAAACCGAAGCACAAAGTACTTTGGCATGAAGTTGTTCTGTGATTAGATTGTCCAATCCCAGGTTCCCTTGGGTAACAGCAGCATTGGGGAGGGGTGTGTGCTCAGTGGGGAAGGGGGTCAGAAAGCACATAGGGGCCGTGGGGATACTTTCTGAGGGAAGCAGAGTGGGGGGACAGCCAAATAGAAACCCTGTGACCATCTCTTACAGTGGTCAGATGAGAATCTTCTTAGCTCTGCAGGTTTAAACTAGTGTAAATGGTGGATTCTCTGTAACTTGAAGTCTTTAAACCATGATTTGAGGCCTTCAGTACCTCAGCCAGAGGTCAGGGGTCTGTGACAGGAGTGGGTGGGTGAGGTTCTGTGGCCTACCATGTGCAGGAGGTCAGACTAGATGATCACAATGGTCCCTTCTGACCTAGAGTCTATGAGTCTAGTTCACAACTCCATCCTTTTTCCTACACCGCCAAGTTATTAGGTATTGGGGGGAGAGGGCGATTTGTATTCATATACAACGCTCAATAAATATACAGTATACAGGTAGAAATGTAAGAACACCATAGTGTACTAATATCTGCTGCTCAAGAAAATCAGATCAGAGAGCAACTTGATGGAGAACGGGAGAGTCACAAACCTGCCAGGTGAAAATCACGGTCTCTGCAATCTCCAAATTTCCTTCCCAAATTTGGCAACAAACTTAAAACTGATAAAAAGAAACACTTTGCTTTACACCACTCCTGACTAACCTGTGGAACTCTCTGCCACAGGATGTTACTGAGTGCTTAGTCAGATTAGCACAAGGATTAGACATTCATATGGATAATGAGATCATCCACAGCTACACATTTTTATCCTATATAAGGGATATAAACTCTCATGCTTTAGGGCACAAACCAACCACGAATTGCCTGCAGCTGGGAAGGCTGTTTCCCCTCTGGTCATAGTTGTCCACTACATGGATTCTGGCACCCCCCTCTGAAGCAGTGGATACTGGCCACTGTCAGAGACAGAGGGTCCTGTGGCACCTTTAAGACTAACAGAAGTATTGGGAGCATAAGCTTTCGTGGGTAAGAACCTCACTTCTTCAGATGCAAGACACCAAGGGAGGAGAAACTGCTTCTGTAGTTGGATAGCCATTCACAGTCTTTGTTTAATCCTGATCTGATGGTGTCAAATTTGCAAATGAACTGGAGCTTAGCAGTTTCTCTTTGGAGTCTGGTCCTGAAGTTTTTTTGCTGTAAGATGGCTACCTTTACATCTGTTATTGTGTGGCCAGGGAGGTTGAAGTGTATATATAGCAGATGTAAAGGTAGCCATCCCTTGGTGTTCACACCTCAACTGCTAGCAGAGCATCTCACCCTCCCTGACTGAACTAACCTCGTTAACTCCATACTGATTTATACCTGCCTCTGGAAATTTCCATTACTTGCATCTGAAGAAGTGAGGTTCTTACCCACGAAAGCTTATGCTCCCAATACTTCTCTTAGTCTTAAAGGTGCCACAGGACCCTCTGTTGCTTTTTACAGATTCAGACTAACACAGCTACCCCTCTGATACTTGTCAGAGATAGGACACTAGATTAGATGGCCTGACCTGATTTGGAGGTTCCTATGCATTCAGTTACAACCTTCCATTCCCTCATCCGCACTGGTATTGGGACCCTCCTGTTACCTGCTCACCTGCATCAGCACTTACCTGTCCTGGAGTCTCTCTTGGGTGTCCTTCAGCCGGGCCTTCAGGTGTCTAATGCAGACCTCCTTCTGCTGGAGGGGGGTCAGGTACTGCTCAGGAGTGGGGGGCTTTATCCCATGGTTATCGCTGCACAGACTGTACTTGACGGGTCGCCTGGGAAAACATGGACAGTCAACAACCCTCCAAGCACGCCAAGTAAAACAATCCCGACCACGTCAGTGCTGGTCCCACAGAGCCGTTCCGCCCCAGACCTCGGCTCATTTCCTTGATTCTAGCACAGCCAGGCGCTGGGGCACAGGCTGATAGGAGCCAGGAGTCTCAAAGGGAAGAGGGGTTTCACCAAGTGGGGAATGTTAACCTTTTCCTCCCCACTTCTCAGATCTGAAGTACAAACCTCCTGGATTACACACCCTCCTGGACTCCAGTGAGACGTCCCAGCGTGTGCTCAGCTGACCACACTGAGGGTCTCCCCAGACCCTGCGGGACTCCAATGAGACGTCCCAGCATGCGCTCAACTGAACACACCTAGGGCACCCCAGATCGGTCCTGGAGAAAGGAGCCTGTCTGTGTGACGAACAGAAGACCCCCCTCACCCCTCAACACCCTGCAGTGTCAGAGCCCCGATATTCCTAAAGTGGGACACATGGTAAGAATATTAAGAACTGCTGAATATCACACATTGTCATGCAGAAATTAAAGCAGGCTGTGTCCTCTAACCAGACCCTTAGGACACCCCCCGCCTAGGTAGACGGTATTTGTGCTGCAGCCTTGAGCTACGGTTGTGGTTATTATGACTAGAGCTTCATGGGCATAGAAAGCACTGAACGGACACACTGAAGATAGGCCTTTGCCCCCAAGCAGCCGACAGTCCCACGGCTAGCAGCAGAATGGGCGCTAGGGCATCTCCCTGGAGAGGGACTCCACTTTAGCCCTGGAAAACACAGCCACCAGAAGCAAAAGGAAGTGTTCATTAGACATGACACTTACAGAAACATCGTCTGCTCTGGTTACTGACACATTGGGACGCTAACACTAAAGCTGGACCTAGAAGAAGGGTAGATCCTTCGCAGAGCTCTGCTAGGAGAGAGGGGACCCTGCAGACAGCAAACACCCCGACCTCTCTGAGCGAGCTCCCATGGCAACGCAAGATTCTTACTGATTTCTAAAGTGCGCCCAAGGTGGGACCTCTCCCCGGGAATACGTCATCAGGAGCATGTTTCCAAGAGGCAGAGAGCTCCGGATTAGAACTTGCTTGAGGCAGTCGCTCCTCGTGGCCACGAAGGGTCACCCCGAGGACTCTAAGGGCCGCGGTGAGTAGTCAGTCATGGGCTAGCTTTTTGCTCCTGCACACCTACGTTCAACTCCTGCTGGCATCAGACGCACAAATAAAGGTTGATGGCTGTCACCTGTCCACAGCACAAAGCCCCTGGACAACGGGGCATGATTAGCCGCCACTGCTCAAGAAGGCCAGGGCTGAACTAGAAGAGGGGGTTGCCTCTCAGGAGGGACATGTATTGACGCGACTGCATGGGGGCCTGGGGCTGGAACAACAGGGAGTGAAGCATGGAGGAGGGTTGTGGGTCATTGCCAGAGCTCCATGAAGAAGCCCAGTGCAGTGTCTAGCTGCAGACTCTGGCTGGTATCATTAGTCCAGCGCTGTCCCAAACAGTGAATTCATTCAGAAATTCAAAGCAGAATATCTGTCCTGGCAGGGCACCCTTGGGCTGTGTGCGCCTCTGGAGAACCCAGGAGATTTGGGGGCCCATCTGGAATGGGCTTTGATACAGCCCCAACCCTAAACACACAACACGCTGTAGACAACGAGCCATATTCTCCGCTGGGGTTAATCGGCACAGCTGCCCTGAAGTCAACGGAACTGCACTCATTAACTGGGGAGCAGAGCGTGGCAATGGAGGGACAGGAAAAGCAGAAATATCTTCTCCGCTGTTAAACCCCACGTCATTTCTCCCCTGGCCATGGCACCGACGTTTACTCAGTCCTCACACTTCCTGTTGTATTGGCTGAGTCAAGCACGACAAGACACAAGTGACACAGCAAGGCCCAGATCTGACGTGCAGCACAAGAAGGGCGAAGAGGCACGCGACAAACCAAGCCAGCTGTGCATTGTGTCTGCGAAGTGTTATTGCCACAGCACTGGAGATCTGTTCCCTCGGCTGCAATACACACAGACAACATGTAAGCAAAGAAGAGAGCAGAGGGGCTCACTGTAGCTGTAATGCAGAGATAGGGGGTTTCTGAGCCGCTAAGTCCTTCTCAGCAAACTCAGAGGGGGCCATATGTTTACTTATAGCGAGAAGTTGGTCAGTTTCTCCATGATGAGCTTGGGCCATTCACTGAGGAACCAGCAATTAGGTTTGGGAGTGGAGAAGAGGGATAGAAACGATCCATTATAGCCCTGGGACCAATGTAGCTGTTTGTAGCAAGTACCACTGCATTTCACAGCATCCCCGGGCCCCGCAATTCTACTCCCAAGGGGGAAAGAAATGCAATGGGAGCTGTGTTTAATCTTTGGGGCCATTTCATGTGCTCCATGCTCAACTGTCCTTTATCCCAGGGAAGAGTCAGAATTCTCCTCTTCCAACAAGTCCACCGGTCTCCTGCTTTCCAGTCCAACATCCTCCGGGCATCACAAAGGGACAATAACAACCACCTCTTGTTTCCATGGTGCCGTTCCTCCTGAAGGATCTCCGTATGTCACCAGGGCGTGCGGGAAGGGAGCAGACAGTGGCGCCCAGTGCTCTATGCGACAGCGTGTGTGGTGGCGGGAAAGGCGACAAAGGGAAAAGGGTGCTTGGAAATCAAGGTGATGGGCAGGAAAGAAAATGGAGCAGAGACGGGGAAATTTTTGGACAAGGACACCAGGGCAAAACTTTCCTCTGACACGACCTCCCAGCAGATTAGCCGTTCCACACCCGCCCAGTGCCACGCCTTGCCTTACTGCACGTGCACAAGTCCCGCCAGCCCCAGCCCTGCAGGGACGGGAACCTACGGGACGAAGGGATTCGAGGGGTTTCAAGCCCAGGCCTCAGACTAACGCTGCTCTTTGCCAACAGAGCCAGTGACCGGGCAAGGGCTTTCAGACTCTGCGTAGCAGTCCGCCTTAGAGGCTTCCACAAACCAGACCCCCTCGGGGAAATCTCACGGAGCCACTGCAAGGCCCGTGTCCCCGTTCCACGTGGCTGGCCGGACAGTCAGTGGAGCAGGTGGGCGAGGCGGGGCGGCCTCCCCGGGGCGCTCTGGACTGGTTACCTTGGGGTGGGGCTGCTGTCGCTGCCCTTGCAGGAGCCCGAGTTGCTGCTGCTGCTCAGTGAAGAGGTGCCGTAGGTGTCCCGCATGCTGACGGGGGGAGAGGGGCGCCTGGAGGCAGGAAGAAGAGGCTGTTTCTCAGTCGGAGTGGCAGGGGGTGCTGAAGACTTAAAGAACGAGGCCAAGCCACTCCTTCCATAAAACCCCCGGCTTCCAAACCACCACAGACACAGGGACACACAAGACAAAAGGACAAAACAAACAGCGGGGATCAAGATGGAACAGAGCAAGGCTGTCTCACAACGGTGACAATAGCGAAGGGGGGGGGCCGAGGGGAGTGGCACACCCGGCGCTGCCCTCGTCCCCTGGGCCAGGCCCAGGGAGGCTGTGCCCCTCTCCCACCTCTACTGCCCATCACAACAAAGAGCTCCTACCTCTCTTCAGCAGCTCTACAGAGAGCGCCGCAGACAGGGGCTGCCTAACGGGCACCAATCCACCCCGTCTTACGGCTAGGGTCTTGCGCCCAGTGACAGCAGTGGTGTGAATTCTGCCTCGGGTGCCATTTGGGTTTGGAGCCACTCGGCACTCTCCTCCCCCACCCCCCGTTCTGTTATAACGAGCGCGCCTTTCCCCTTCACACCGCGAGCCCAACACTCTCCTGAGCCCGCTGGGATCCCATTGTGTTTTATTTATAGCCAAGTCAACCCTGCTACTCCCAAAACATCTGTCTGCTGGGCCACCTCTGGGCTTCTCTTCTTCGACAGCATCACATGGCCACTCTGGAGGTACCGCTAGCCAGGCATTGACACAATCAATAGTGAAATAACTCCTGTCCGGGGAGGATGTGAACCTGAAAGGGGGTTCCAAAGAGGATGGAGCTCAGCTGTTCTCAGTGGTGGCAGATGACAGAACAAGGAGCGATGATCTCAAGTTGCAGTGGGGGAGGTTTAGGTTGGATATTGGGAACACTTTTTCACTAGGAGGGTGGTGAAGCACTGGAATGGGTTACCTAGGGAGGTGGTGGAATCTCCTTCCTTAGAGGTTTTTAAGGTCAGGCTTGACAAAGCCCTGGCTGGGATGATTTAGTTGGGGATTGGTCCTGCTTTGAGCAGGGGGTGGGACTAGATGACCTCCTGAGGTCCCTTCCAACCCTGATATTCTATGATTCTAATGAACAAACTCTGGTGTGAACACGCATTTCTCCCTTGTCCTCTGATTGTACCCAGAGTACGGCAGCCTAGGGAAGATCTCTTCAAGGGGCAAACCCCGCAAAGCCCCACAACCTCCACACCAGTGGCTGAGGACAAGGACACTCCATCAACACCTGCCTTTGGCCCAACAGAGCTGAAGAGATAATCCCGACTTCACGCACTGCAGTGGAGAGACAAATGCAAGTGTGCATGCAGGAAGCGGACCCTTGTGCAAGTGCTATGCAGAAGAGTCGTTAAGACATGCCACAAGGTATTTCGGCAGCTGCCAAAACCATCGCCCGACCCTGGGGTCTGGTCTGTGCACAATGCTGCCGGTCCAGGTCCAGAAAAAGACCTTGCTAGCCGCCCTTCTTAAATGAAAGCGCTCGGCTCTACTCCTTCACTCAGGCTGCACTAATGCATTTGGGAGGAGAGGAAAAATGGCCTCTAGTTTGTATCGTTTCTCGGGAAAGGCGCTGCAGGGATTCCGGTGTCATCTACAATAATAGGTTGGACGTATTCACCTTCGAGAGCCAGTGGAGGACCGTCTGCTTCCCGGCAGGGACATAGCAATAGCACTGCAGGTCCCGGCGGTGAGGGTAACCGGCACACCAGCTAAATAAAGAGAAAGACAGGAGGAAAGAGAGTGAGAGCTGGAAGTGTGAACGACGTCACTTGAGAGGCACCTCGGCTGGAGGGCTGGAGGATGCTGAGTGAGTGTCTGGGGCAAGGTCCAGCTTTTTCATTGTGTGTGTCCCGTACCTACCGCTTTGGGGCCTGGTCCCTGACTGGAGCCTGTAGGGTGCTACGGGACACAGACAGACAGAATGTCGGATGCTTAGCCTCTCCACTCCCTGGGGGAAGGCATTCTGCCCAGAGGGCCAAGTCCCATGGCAGCGGACCTCTGCTGACTTACATCACATGAAGATTTGGTCCAGCATGTGGGTTTTTTTTTTTTTCAACGAACCATTCCTGTGCTCTGTATTATCCATCCTCCTTCAGTTTGATCACCAGCCACCTAATACTGTACTCTGCTCTGCTCTGCGCTGTCCAGGCCGGGAACTCAAAACACTTCACAAACATTAACCTCAGTCCCCCTGTGCACATTTTACTCCTGTTTTACAGGAGAAACTGAGGCCCAGAGAAGTGAAGCAACTTGCCTAAGGTTGCAGAGTGAGTCGGTCGCACAATTGGGAGTAGAAGGCAGGTCCCTAACGCCCAGCTCTGGGCTTTAGCCAGACCTCTCTCTTCTGTCCGCACCAGGGGCCTGGTCACGCGATGTTATGTTCTCTTACTATTTATTCCTCAGTTACATCAAAATCATCCACAGCACAAAGAAACCAGACATGGGACTAGAGGATTCCAGGCAATCCTGCATGAGCAGAGAATCTCATGAAAAACCAAAAATCGGGTTTTTCATGCAAATAATGGGTCTGATCCAGAGGCCATTGAAATCGATTGGAATCTTTCCTTTGGCGCTGGCCCCTGGGTGGGAATAAGAAACTGCACGGGAAGAGAAATCTAGAAAATACGAGGTCAGCACCTAAATTCTCCTTTGATGCTATTTTCTAGATCAGTGGTCTCCAACCTTTTTACGCCCAAGATCACTTTTTAAATCTAAGAGCCACCCAGGATCTACCCTGAGGCCTCACCCCATCCCCAAAGTCCCGCCCCGCTCACTCCATCCCTCCCTCTCTCCGTCGCTCGCTCTCCCCTACCCTCACTGTTGGCATTCGGGAGGGGATGCGGGCTCTGAGCTTGGGCTGAGGGGTTCGCAGTGTGGGAGGGGACTCCGGGCTGAGCCTGGGGCAGGGGGTTGGGGTGCAGGAGGGGATGAGGGCTGCAGGAAGGGATCAGAGCTGGGGCAGGGGGTTGGGAAGCAGGAGGGGGTGAGGGCTGCAGGAAGGGATCAGAGCTGGGGCAGGG